AGCCTGCTTCTCCCTCTCCCACTCCCCCTGCTTGTGTTCCCTCTCTTGCTGTGTCTCTGTCAAATAAATAAATAAAATCTTAAAAAAAAAAAGAACTCAGCAAGGGGTGGTGGGGGAGTCGGGAAGCGGGGAGCATACAGATGAAAGAAGATGGGCCAGATGTTGATGGCTGTTTACTCTCCACATGGGGAGGGGGTCACTAACTGTTACTGCTACTTCTGGGTATATTTGAAATTTTTTGTAATGAAAAGATGTTAATCCCTAAAATAAATCACTTCTCCCCATCTCTACAACCATCACACTAGACCAAGCCACCCCCACCTCTCACCTGGATATAGCAGCGGCCTCCTGGTCCACCTATTTCTACCCTTTGCTCTCCTTACTCTTTGCCACAGGGCATCTGGAGTGACCTTCCGCTAACTCCCCCACCTCACTCACTCCGTCCAGCCATAATGATGGTCTGGCTCTTCCTCAAACACGCATGACCACAATCTACCTCAGGGTCTTTGCACTTGCTGATCCCTCCACCTGGAAAACCTTTCCCCCAAAACTTCACCCAACTCACCATCACTTCATCAGTGCCCACTACCCACTAGGTTAAGCCACAAATACAGTCCCACACGTCGCTGTCCCTATCCTGGCTGCAAACCCATCCCACGGGGAGGGCAGTGGTGGGCAACTGGGAAGACCAGAAGGCAGGAGGATGCCCTGCGCTCTGAGGCACCAAGGCCAGGCCTGACAAGGGGTCCTAACACACATGAAGCATTTAGTACAGTGCCTGCCACCCAGGTGCCACCCAGTTATTGGCTATTGTGATTTGTCATGGGAAGGGGGCAGCTGATGAGCTGGAGGCGGCAGGTAGGAAGCTCGAGGGGGGAGGAGCGGCACCTGGGCTTGTCGGCTGCCCCGATCTGGCTGGCGATGCCATCCATCCAGGAGAGCAGGTCACGGGCCTGGCTGTGGAATCGCAGGGCATCGGCCGTGGAGCTGACATGCAGGCGGGCGTCCTCACAGGCGGTCAGCAGTTCCTTCCAGCCCTGCAGCACCTCCTGCTCCCGGCTGGCAATGGCCTCTGCGTGCTCCCCGGCATACACCGTCCGCAGCTGGGCTGCCCCCTCCTGGAGCTGCCGCACCTGCAGGGGATGTCAGGTCCAGCCCTGGGGCCCTCCATGGGGTCCAGGCTCTGCCCTTCTTCCCCCATCAGGGGGGTCCCTCCATGGGGTCCAGGCTCCGTCCTCCTTCCATCGGCTGGCCGGGTGCCAGGAGCCCGCACCCTCATGATCCCACAACTGTGTCCCTCTTATCACTACCTACCGCCCAATTTCCTTCAGAATGGCTACTCAGTTCCTATTGGGTCTCCTGCTCAAGTTCTATTGGTTCTGCCACGTGAGTTCTAGCAGACCCACTGCTCACTCTCTACTGGTTCAACTGCCTGATTTCTTTTGGAGTGACCGCCCTCTTTCTATCAGATCCACCACCTAATCACTATCAATCTCTCTGCCTGTTCACATAAAGATGACTGTCCTGTTTCTGCCGTCCGCTGGACCGGAAGCCCAATTTCCCTCGGCCGTGGGAGTTCTATTACGCCCACAGCCTCATTTCCATCTGATTTCTCAGATCCGCCTCCCAATTCCTGTCAGATCCACAGCCTGATTTCTATTAGCTCTGTTGCCGTGTCCATTACTTTCCACCCCCATCAAATTTCTTGCAGGAAAGTCATATGATTTCCATCAGAGACCTGCTATCTAATTTCTATCTGCCTCACCACCAAATTTCTCTGAAGCCTCTGAAATTTCCTTTAGGCTCTCCATCTGGGTTTGGGTAAGATTCCCTTCACAGTTTCTAGGAGAACCCCTGCCCAGTCTCCACTGGAAACACTGTCTCATTTCTATCAGACATACTCCGCCACCTTTTCCGGACACTGTCTGACTTCTAGGCACCGTGCAATCAGTGGGTTTTCTACCTGCCCCATCATCTCGCTTCTGCCTGTTCCCTGGTCTGTTTTCACCTGCTCCACTGTCTAATTTCCACCCGCTCTACAGCCAGATTTTTGCCTGCTCTGCTGCCCAACACACCTTGGCCACGCTGTCCAGGCCCTCCCACCTGCCCACCTGGGACACGAGGAGCTGCAGGTCATGCTCAAAGGCGCGCAGGGTCCGCTGCATGGAACTGGCGCTGGGTCTCGGCTCAGGCGGGGCGGTCAGGCGGGGCAGTCGCCTCCGCTTCTCCTCGATCTGTCCCTGAAGCTCTCGGGCGTCGCTGAAGAACTTATGCAGCTCCCGAGAGGCAGCCAGCAGCTGGGCCCGAGTGCCCATAAGCTCCAGCAGCTCAGCCCAGGCCTCGTTCAGCCCGTCCTTCCACTCGGCCATGGTGGCCGCCGCCGTGTGGCCGCACTCGATCAGCTCATCCACCATCTGGTTCACGGCCGCCAGCCGCTCCCGCCCTGCAGTGCCCGTCTCATTGGCGAACTCTGAGAATTTCTCCTGCAGCACCTGCCCCCGGGAATACGGCATGGGCAAAGGTCCTGCGCACACAAGCCCCCTCCAGTCCACCATCTTGTAGCAGGTAAGAGTAACAATAATCATGCTGGCGATGACCGGCATGATGAAAAGTAATACCTAACCCTTCAGGAGCACTTACTCTGTAGCGATAACAGCAACAACAAGCAAACAACCAGATGATAGCAACTAACACTTCCTCTGTTAGGCACTGTGTGTGCTGAGTATTGTCCTAAGCGCTTTACGCCAGGGCGACTCTTCGGGCTCACAGAAGAGCCAGGCGGTGGGGGCTGTTGTTATCCTCACATTACAGCTAGGGAAACCGAGGCCCGGAGAACCTTAGTAGCATACACAGTAGCCACCGGTACCAATAGTATTACTAACGATGCTCACCGTGACGTGCTCGAGGTCTTGGCCGAGCTCAGGCGAGCCAGCCACCACCTCCTTCTCGGCGATCCAGTGCTCGAGCTCGTCCACCTGGCGGCTGAGCTGGTACAGCCAGTATTGCTGCTCCAGGCCCACCCTGCGCTCCTCCCCCAGTTCTTTGAGCGCCACGTACAGACGGTCCACTTGAGACTGCCGCCGGCTGATCTGCTCGCTGATGGGGGACAGGGAGGGGCAGGGGCAGAGCCCCCTGAGACTTCCAGGACAGAGCTGTGACCCCCTGACGCCCCCCTCTCGGGGCAAGGCTGTGTGTCCTCTGAACCTTCAGCCGGAGTAGTATCTGCTCAGACTCCTTCGCGGGGGCCTCTGTTTTCTGCAAGGCTTGGATTCAGTGAACCCAATACTTGCAGCTGAGCACTCCGGGAAAAACTTTGCTTCCCGAAGCTTGACAAGTTCACTGCTCCCTCTTCCCCCAGCCTCTCTGTGGTCCCTCTCCCCGCCCCTCCAGGGACCTTGGGTGGGGCTGCTGACTCCCTACGTGGGTCCCCAGCCAACCCACCTCACCTCCAGGCCGTCTCCTGGCTCTGGAGGACAGAGGTCTAGCCCTGTGCCCTCTCTCAGGTCTCACCCCTAGCCCAGGACTCCCAGATATGGCCCCTACTCCTGGCCTCAGGGAGGCCCCATGCCTGGCCACCCGGGAGGTATCAGGCTATGCCCAATCACAGCACTCCGAGCTTTTCTGTCCTCCCAGACACTGGGTAGGAAGAGGACCCTTCCCTGTCCTGAGCTCTTCCTTCTCTCCTCAGTCTGAGACATCACCTCCCACCCCTACACTGAAATCCCAATACCCCTGGCCCCACCCTCTCAACCATCCCTGGGCACTGCCCCTCCATTCGCCGCCCTACCCACACGCTGAAATCCCAAGGCTCCAGCTCTTGGCAGTGAGCGCCCCTCCCACCCCAAGGTCCACTTCGGGCTGTGTCCCAATTTCCAATAGTGAAGCTTCAGATCCTTCCGGATCATTCCTTAAGAACTGGCCCCGCCCCCCCGGCCCCAATCCCACCACCCCCCTCCCGCCCACCTGTCCGGGTGCCCCATCTCCAACAGCGCCCGGCACTGGCGCGACAGCTGCGCGATGCTTTCCTCGTAGTTCTCCACGCCCTGTTCCAGCTGCAGGTGCTTCTTGAGCAGCTGCAGGGTGCTCTGTTCGTCCTGGGGGCACATGGCGCCCGCGATGAGGCGGCAGCGGCCGGCCCCGGGCTCCAGCGCCCCCCGGCCCCCCACACCCCCCGGCCCGGGCGCACCTTGCCCTTGTCCTCACTCATCATGAGCAGCTCCTGCTCGCCCAGCCACGCCTCCACCTCGGCCACGTCGAAGTAGTACTGCTCCACCTGGAAGGCGGCGTCCAGCACCTGCTGCCGCCGCTCGGCCGCCTCCCGCAGTCCGGCCCAAGCGCCCTGCAGCTGCTCCTGGCCGTGGCGCACGGCCTCCGCCTCCGGGCTGCGCAGCGATGCCAGCGCGCCCGCGCGCTCCAGCACCTCCTCCAGCCGCGGCCCGTGCGCCTGGATCTCCCGCCGCAGGCCCTGGGGGCGGGAGGTGGGGGTGGGGGTGGAGAGGGGCGCTCCAAGGCCCGGCGGGGGGCCTCGGGCGCCTCGGAGACTCGCACAGCCCACCGACGTAATCAGAAGCCGCCGCAGATCGCCCCCCCCCCCCCCCCCCGCCTTAGGCACCGCTTAGGCAGTTTGCCGTTCCTCGCTCGCTCACACCCCCATGTTGCCGGTGGGAAAACGGGCACCGAGAGGCGCAGTTCATCGCCGGGGAACAAGCAGTTAGTAAGGGGGCCACACAGGACACAGGCTCCCGACACTGTACTCTCAACCAAGCCGCCTGGTGGTGTAAGATACCCCCTAATGGCCGAAACAGGCTGAGAATCAGGCTGCTGGGGGCAGTGGGTGTAGAACTCACGTGCAGTGAGGTGTGCACATCTTCCGGGTACAGGTCAACATATTTACACGTGGGTACACCGCGTATCCAGGGCAGGATATGGAACACTTCCATCAGCCCCGAGGGTTCCCTCAACCAGCTCTGTAGTTGGTGCACACCTTACTTAGCTTCTCCTGTGCCTCAGTTTCCTTGACTTGCAAATGGAGGTGATAATAGGTGACCCTGAGCGCCTGCCACCTGCCAGGCACTTGGCTAAGCAAGGGCTTTGCAGGATGTGGCCACTCATCCAGTCCTCGCTGCAGCTCCAGTTCTCTGTCTCACTTTACAGACGGGGAAACTGAGGCACGGAGAGGTTGGGGAACTTGCCAACTTCCCATGGCTGGGGGTGGCGTGCTTAATGTCCACCTCATGGGGCTGTTGTACCCTGGAGCACTCAGAACTGTGCCCGGCACGTAGTAGGTGCTCAGTCAATACGATAATACAGTAACTGTATTATATAATAGTTATATATATTATAATATATATATTATATAATACAATATAATATATAATACAGTAACTGCTGTTACTCTTCTGGCTCCGGGCCATCCGGGGCATCCAGTGCTCCTGTGCACGCACAGTGGAGCTCCCCCAGGGTTAAGCATGAAGTGCACTTGATTGCTTCCCTCAACCGTGAAAAGGATGAGCCAGTTCTACTTGTCCCCAACACTGTCAACAGTCAAGAGTGTTTTCTGGTGTGCCTGGGTGGCTCAGTCTGTTAAGCGTCTGCCTTCCACTCAGGTCATGACCTCAGGGTCCTGGGATCAAGTCCATACTCAGCGCGGAGTCTGCTTGTCCTTCTCCTGCCCCTCTCCGCCCCCCTGCTCGTGCGCATGCGCATGCACTCTCTCTCTCAAATAAATACATAAAATTTAAAAAAATACAGCCAAGAGTGTTTTCATCAGAATAGAAAAGCGAAAGCTAAAAAACCCCCTCCAGCCTCTTAAAGAACTCCAGCTAGGGCAGCATGGTCAAAAACCTTTGAGAATCATTTGTAAGCCCACCTCCCCACCATCCTTCAGTGCCCATTCTCCCTGAAACTCATATTTTTTGGTAAAGGGGAGTAATGAGAATACCCATCTGATAGGGTTATTGTGGGGATTAAATTTAAAAAGCCTACATACAACCTCCTATGACCGTACCTGGCACACAGTAAGTCTTCAATCAACGTGTAATTAGTAGTAGTAGTAGTATTCCTCTCTCATGTGTCTTACACTGGGCTTCGGTGAAGGAGTTGCTTTGTCCAGAAAGTTCCTCTGCTAAGTGATTTGAAAACCACTGCTCTAGAGCAGCTCTACTTGTTTAGATGTGGAACTGAGGCCCAGGAGGTGAACAGAGATCCAGAGATCTTAGGGGCTCAAGAGCTCCCCCACCATGAGTAGAGTGGACACCATTAGGAGTCTGCGCTCTTTCGCTGATCATCTCTGTCCTTTCTCCCTATGGGTGCTTTGAGTTCCTACTTGTTGCTTTTCTTTTTCCTTGTCCAATAAGCCATTCGCCTTACTGTTACTCATGGCACCCTGACTTTCCTCTGGGGAACTCCCTTGTCTCCCTTCTCAGCCCATGTAATTAAGTGAAGGCTGACTCCATCTGCAGGTTCCAATAGTGGGCCCTGAGTCCAGACCAGGCCAACAGAACAGTTTAAATCCCTGGCCACCATGATTAGTTAGGGATGGGCACGTGATTCAAGCTGAGCCAATGAGAGTTATCCCTGGGACTTGCTGAAATTATTGAGAAAGAGAAATTCTCTTCTCTCAAGTGGGATGTACACTTGAATCTGTTGGAGGTCTTTTACCATCAGGAGAGGAGAGAGTTGGCCTGAGAACAAAGTTAACACAGAAACACACACACACACGCACACACACACAATGGAGTTATGAGATTCATGACATCATGGAAGTACCTGGATGCATCTATACCTGCTGTCCACACTCTTCTCAATCACAACAGCCAACAAATTTTGGCTTTAACCACTTTGAGCTGTTTTCTCTCACGTATTTCCAAATGTGTCCTACCCCACATCCTCACCCTAGCTCTGCTCACCTGGTTCTTTTTGATGTACTGCTGGACAGCCTGCAAACCACTGCCTCGCTCCGTCTGCATGGCCAGTGGCAGTCGCTCCTGGACCCAGGCCTGGGGAGGATGCAGGGAGCAAGTCAAGGGGAGAATGCACCCAAGGACCCCTGCATCCCAATTAAACTGTAAGCCACCTTTATAGGATCTAAGACCCTTCCTCACCAAAGAGCCTGGTCACCTCTCTTCAGCCTCCTCTCTCGCTGCGCTGTTTTGCTGTCTGCACTCAAGCCAGGTTCAGGCTTACTTACCTCTGTCCTTGGCACGGGCAGGTCTTGCGTCCTGCAATCCCCTCAGCAGGATCACGGGGACTCTTCCTTCATGTCCCAACTCAAGACATCCCCTTCTCTAGGAAATCCTCCCTGACTTTGGACCTTGGCCAGTTGCCTCCTCTGAGCTCCCACAGCCTCCTAAACTCCCTCATCACAGCCCTAATCACCCTGGGTTGTCACTGGAGATAAGTCCGTTTTCCCCTTTGGACTCTTGAGCCCTCTATGGGCAGGAATGGGGTCTGTCTTGGTCCCCCCTGTGACCCCAGCATCATCCAAGTACAGAGCTAGGCCCATAAGGATCAAGCGAATGAGCAAATCAGTGAGTGAAAGAATGAATGAGCAAATCAGGAAGCGAGTGACTGGATTAGGAAATGAATGAATGAGGGGCGAGTGAATAAATGAATAGCAATAAATCAGTGGAGGAAGGAATAAAGATGAGTCAATGAATAACTAAATGGCTTCATGAATAAATCAATGAATGAATGAAAGTGAGTAAATGCGAAAAAGCGAAGGAATGAATGAGTGGATAAGTGAACGAGTGAATGAGTACGGGAAGGCCTGGACGACTGAGTCTAGCAGCAGGTCAGTGGGAAGGTCTCCCAGCCAGCTCCGCCCTTGAACTCGCCAAGGTCCCACGGCCCCGCCCCCACTCCCAACCTCCACGCCCCCGCCGGCCCGCCGGCTCTCCCGTGGCCTCCCATCCCGCCCCAACCGCGCAACCATCTCCTCCCCGTTACCCCGGCCCCGCCCCAGTCCCCGCGCCGGTCCTCACCAGCTCGTCGTCGAGGTCGTGCGCCACCTGGTGCAGCTCCTTAGAGGCGAGCAGCAGGCGGCGGCGCTCCTGCAACGGCTCGAGCAGGCGCACCAGGCGCTCGCCCACCGCGTTCTGCCGCTCGCCCACCAGCTCCTTGCTGGCCGGCTCCAGTGGCAGGGCGGCGGTCTGCGCCTGCAACTCTCCCACCTCGCGGTACCACTCCTCCACCTGCGACTCCATCGACTGTGGGGACAGGGGCAGAGTCAACAGGCTCCACCCTCCCTCCCAATCCGCTGTGGCTCCCCAGTACCTTTATGGTGACAGCCAAACCCCTCCGCAAGGGGTTCACTCGGCCCCTGCTCAATCCCCTCCGGAAGCGCTAGGCTCCTCACTGATAACCGCCACACACTAAACTAGTTCCTGCCTCAGGGCCTTTGCCTTTGTTATTCCCTCTAACAGGCATGCTCTTCCTTGTCAATTAGATTTCAGCTCAAACATTACCTTCTAAAAGAGGCTTACCTGGCCCCCTGAGCTAAAGCGGCCCATTCATTCATTCATTCTCAGAACCACCCTTCAAATTTGGTGATATCCCCCTTTTACAGAGGTGGAAACTGAGGCCCAGAGAAGTTAGGTAATTTGTCCAAAGAGTCAACCTTTCCAAATGTCATAAATATAAAGTTATAGTGATTTAAATAGTTGGTATGCCATAGGGACAGACAGAAAGTGCAAAAGCAGACCCAAATACACTGGAGAATTCATACATTTTATAGATGCCATTTCAAATCCCCAAGGAAAAGATGGATTATTCAACGAGTGGTCATGGGCCAACTGGCTAACCAATTTAGCTGGATCCCTTCCTTGCTCTTTATGCTGAAAACAATTCCAGATGGATTAAAGACTTAAATGGAATAAGTAAATCCATAAGGCACAGAAGAAAACCTGGGCAAATGCTTTTATAATCTTAGGATGGAGAAAATCTTTCCAAGAAAAAAAAATCATAAAGGGAAAGATTTATAAATTTGGCCACATAAAATACTTTTTTTGCATCAACCAAAATTTCTAGATGTATTTAGAAGGCAAATGACAGCCTGAAAAAAATATTTAACATAACACATATTATTAGAACAAGGAGCTAGTTTCTTTGACAATCAAAGAATTTCCTTTATCCTGCTTCCTCTGTCTCCACTTACCACCATCAGCCAATACTGTCTTTACTTGTGGCTTTTTTATTGGTCTCCTGCTTCTGGAGTGGGAGCTTCATGAGGGCAGGGTTTGTGTCAGTTGACCTCTGTATTCCTGAGCGCCTAGAACAGTGTCTGGCATGTAATAGGTCTTCGGTTGTGATTTGATCAATGCACAAATGAATGTCACTGGCAAAGAAAAAGACTGCCCCCATGTGAACAGGCACCTCTCGGAGTGAACAGGCCACACACAGAAATAAACGTAAGCACATGGAAGAGATGCCTAGTCCCACTAATCAGCAGGAAAATACACATTAAAACAAGGTACCCTTTCTTATTCACCAGATTGGCAACCATGTAAAAGACGGATAATATTTATTATTGGCAAAGATGCAAGATGGGTACATTCAGCCACTGTCGGCCGGTGGTGGTGTAAATTAGCAGAGCCTTTTTGGAAGGCAATTTGGCAGATCCTATCAAAATGCAAAAAAGTTCATATGCTTTGACCCAGCACTTGCACTTCCACTTCTAGGAATATAACTAAAGAAATACTGGCACATGTGCATAAGGATGTTCGCCCAAGGATCACGTTGTAGCAGAGTTTATAACAGGAAACAATTGAAAACAAACATGACGCCCATCAAGAGTGAAATGGTTAAACAAATCCACATCAGTATGGAATAATGGCCAAGACTTGCTGTTAAGAGAAAAAAGCAACTTAGAACATACATTTGAATATATTTGTTATGGGTCGCACATGCATAAAAACTCCCTGGAGTAAACAAGAAATTAATCACAGATGGTACCTATGGGCGGGGGATGAGAACTCAGTGAATGGGGACGGGGGTGAAGGAGAGACTTGTCACATAGGATTTTTTTATAAAGCGTTTGATGTCTGAGCCATAAAATGTAATTTTTAAAATTTTTAAATTAAACATTAAAAATTAAAAATATTCAAAACCCACACAGGTAGCTAGTAAATGCACAGAAAGAGGTCTAGAAGGATGCACACCAAATCATAACTGAGGTTCCTTTCGGGGTGTGGGAATGGGAGGTACGGTTAAGGGAGACTTTATGTTTCACTGAAGACTTCTACGTTAGTAAGATCTTTAACCAAAAGAATATATTTGCGTATTACTTGTGTGACTCCAAACAGATGGGGGAAAGCCATAAAAGAAAACATTACAATAATGAAATTAAGTGGTAACAGATTAGAGCAAATGACTGCAACTCAACAGTCAAAACCCAAGAACCAAGTGAATACTGTTGTTGCAAGGTTCTGTAGCGCAGAACTGTTAGTTTTGCCAGCCCACCGTCCATGCCTTCTCTGCAGCACCTCCCACGCCCCGCAGACCTGAGCTCCGGGCGACTAAAAAAACCCAACAGCTCCAAGTGTGGTCACATGAGCCAAACTAGCCAATCAGAACACTGAAACCATCCTGACCACGGGGATTGGGTAAGAGATAGCGTGTGACCTAAGATCAGCCAAGGAAAGCCCTTCCCACTTTTTAAACTTATTTATTTTTTTAAGTAGACTCCACACCCAGCGTGGAACCCCATCTGGGGTTTGAACTCACCACCTGAGCTCAAGACCTGAGCTGAGATGAAGAGTTGTACATTTAACCCACCACCTGAGCTCAAGACCTGAGCTGAGATGAAGAGTTGTACATTTAACCCACCTGAGCCACCCAGGCGCCCCAAACCCTTCCCACTTCTGCAGAAAAAGTATGTGAACTCAGGAGGGTACTCTGCCATTGGGTTCCTCAGTAGGTAGAACATGGGCCTGGGGTGGGGGTCGGGGGGCAACTTGCCACCAACTTGCCAACTTGCTCCCGACAGTGAGGCCAACAGAGAGGAAAGCAGGGCCCAGAAACGGAGACAGATTGCTGAGGACATAATTTGAGAAACTGATCCTGCCATGCCTGAAGCCGCCTACCCCCTGGGTTTTGCAGCAACGTGAGCCAAGAACCTCCCATCAGCTAAGTCAACGTGGGTTGAAGTACTATGAACTGCACCCCAAAGAGTCCCAGCTGATACAGTTCACAATCTGTAGGAGTCATGAAAATGGATAAAAATCAAACGTTGTAACAAGCCAAAAGCATATAAAAGGAAATTTCAAAAGGCACAATCACAAGCTGCAGAAATCAAAGAAAATAGTCACTCCAAAACCTTTTTCACTAGGAAAATCATTGCAGCAATGTGTAGAAAATCAAAATGCATTCAAATTCTGGAAACTCTTAAATATAATCTGAAATGCTAATAAATTCCAGTTCTCCACTAGATGAAAACCTCTCCATAATCTGCCCACCAAGTGGCCGTATGACCCGAGATGGAATAATTCCAGGACTAACACTTTTCTACTCTTACAAGAATGCCACATATTTTGAACGCCCATTTAACGTGGATCCTTCCCTGCAAACATGAGCAAAGGATACAGAAGTACAGTGGTCATTAAATGTACAAAAAGATGTTCAGCCTCCTTCAACATTAAGGGAAATGCAAGTTAAAATAACTATAAGAGAGGGATACCTGGGTGGCTCAGTCAGTTAAGCATCTGCCTTTGGCTAGGGTCATGATTCCAGGGTCCTGGGATCAAGCCAGGCATCAGGCTCCCTGCTCAGCGGGAAGTCTGCTTCTCCCTCTGCCTCTCCCTGTCCGCCCCCCCCCCCGCCACCGATGCTCTATCTCTCTCTCTCTCTCAAATATATGAAATCTTAAAAAAATAACTATGAAACAGTATCTTTCACTTCTCAGATTAGCAGAGGTAAGAAAGCTTGATAATACCTAATCATGGGGACCACGTGGGGAGAAGAGCGCTATCACGTGCAGATGCGTCCACTGCCTTTTCACGGGGACAACTTGGCAATATCTCTCAAAAACTTTAATGTGTACACCTTTTGGCCCAGAAATGTTACTTGGAGGACTCTTTTTTTTTTTCTTTTTAGATTTTATTTATCTATTTGAGAGAGAGAGAGAGAACACAAGCAGAGGGAAGGGGCGGAGGGAGAGGAAGGAGCCGACTCCCCGCTGAGCAGGGAGCCCAATGCAGGGCTCGATCCCAGGACCATGGGACCATGACCCAAGACGAAGGCAGACGCTTAACTGACTCAGCCACCCAGGCGCCCCTGGAGGACTCTTTTCTACAGAAATATTTGCACATAGGCTCAAATGCATATGGACAGGGATGTCTACTGCGGTGTTATTTATACTAGCAGAAGATTAGAAACAGTCCAGAGGGGCGCCTGGGTGGCTCAGTCAGTTAAGCGACTGCCTTCGGCTCAGGTCATGATCCCAGGGTCCTGGGATCGAGTCCCACATCGGGCTCCCTGCTCCGCGGAGAGCC